AGCGGTCCACACGCGATCCAATCGCGCGACCATAACCGTGGGCGCTCCAATGCCAATCGTCACAATGATATGGCTCGGGCGGGGCCGTGTTCGGTGTATGAACCCGGCCCATTTAAATTCTGTCGTAGGGACGATTCACCGATTTTCGGGGAGCGCTCCGTCATGGTCACGCGATCGCATCGCGAAGTTTGAACGCTGTCTGAAAGCTAATTTCGTGCAGTCAACCAGTAACCAGTAAGCAACTTTATCTTAGTAATAGGTATTGTTGCTTTAACTCGGGTTAAGCCCAAATTATTCGTGACAGATGTTTCATGCGACCGAAGTAAAGTAAAGCATTAGTGTTCATGAGTTCAGGTGAGAAATGCTACGAACTTTACAAAATTTCGGAAAGCTCCCCCGAATTCGACGCCTACTTGACACGGGTGCAGTCATTGGCCTTGTGGTACATCGATGCAGCTCAATACACAGACAACAGTGATCCATTGTGGTTTCATTACTTCTTGTAAGTTTATTTAGCTTATAATGCAACCTTTCAACTTCTTTGAACCCTGTTTGCGATGTAGAATTTCGTTTATTTTGTTCATCTATTTTGCAATCATTTGGAAGATGGTCTTTATGCTGTATCGATGATCATTTTTAGATTGGAGTCACGAGCACATGAAGCTGGAGACGGGTCCCGTGCATACTCTCTTGCTGGATATGCTTCATTGTATAGGTTTTATGCACATCCGGATAGAGTGAGACCTCGTATAGCGCAAATCATGCTTCTTCCTCCTTACAGGTATGTCAGTTCAATTTCTCTTTTTGTTCACCATGTAAATCTCGTTTTATCAGCCGTTCATCGCTGGCTGTTGACTTGTGCATCTCAAGGGCATCTGTGCAAGCCCACTTCATATACCGGAGAGGGACGGTGTGGTTGCGCACTTCGTTTGAACATAGCGTTGTATGTGTTTTTCTCGGGATACTTCCGTTTTAGACAGCAGTCATGTTGTCGTCTGCTGGACGAATGTGTGCTGACAGTTGTCCCAAAATGAAAAAATCCCAACAAAAGAGCAGCCGCCGCCGCGCTTCGACGAAGTACGCAGCCACGCCCTCTCTTTCTCCAGGGTATGAATGAAGTGTACGTGGTAGGCAGACTTTCTCCTTAGTATAAGATGCACAGGTACGTAGCCGACTCTGATGTACCGCTACGGCCACAACGAGGTCGCGTGGAAGAGCGATAAAAGCTTGTAACGCAGGAGGTCCTCGGCCTTATGCGAGGACCTTCGCCCACTTGAGATTGCGATGAGCCTGAAGGGATTGTCTTTTGGTGGGGAGGGGGGGATACTTTCGACATTTTTGTTCTGTTTATTTTCATGTAGATGCCACTTGTCACCTGTCTCACAGCTGAATACCATTATCCTCATTTTGCCATCTTCCATTGTCCCTTCAAAGATTGTAGTCGTCCATTCTGGTCTATTCTATGAGAATTCGCCGTGAATCTATTGTATGTTTCTTTTTCTATAAGAAGGATATAAAAGAGTGATGTTCAGGAAAAGTGGACTGGGTGCAAAACTGCTGGACGCTATCTACAAAGATCTGTGCTCAATGAAAGAGGTGCTAGACGTGACAGGTAGTTCAATCAAAGCGTTATACCCCCTAGTGACCTACTCCGAATGGCTATAGGTTCTTACGGTTTCAGCTGAGGATCCTGCTGATAACTTCGTTTATCTACGAGACTACGTCGACTGTATAAATTGCTCAAAACTTCCTGAGTTCGATCCGTGTAACCTTAAAAAGGGATTCACTGAGGAAATGCGACTAGCTGCATTAAATAAGCTGAAAATAACCAAGGTATGTATGTTGTATTGCTACCATTCAATTCTTCATAAGAAGTAGATGACATTCCAGCGTCAGTCACGTCGAGTTTATGAAATTTTACGCCTCAAATGCACGAATATGAAGGATGCTGTAGAAGCGAAGGAGTATAGATTGGATGTGAAGAGAAGGTTTGTTGAAGTTTATGTCTTGACGGTCAAATTCCGTGGAAGTAGGATCACTGGATTTTGTAGACTCGAGGCCCCCATGAGAAGAAATGAACGAGACTGGAAAAAGATACAGCGTGCTCTTGATGACAATGAATATGCTCAGGTAACTATTTTTTCCATAGGTTGTTCTGTATGAGGCTCAGGTGATTGGAGATTCCTGAGTATAAGTTTTAGCTAGTGAAAAGTATTTTCATCGGAACATATTGATTACTGGGCTATTGTCATGTGTCTTTCGAACTAGCCATTGAATAGAGTACGTATGCCGATTTAATAACCATCGAACATGTTGGTTTGATTTTCAATCGTTTTCATGCTTTGATGAGAGGGAAGTGATGGGGTAGCTCAAGAAGCCAATCCCCAGACATTTTCTTCCCAATGTGTCTGTAGGGTTACTGGAGACCGTTCTTACTTCTGTCAAAGCCATATTATGGTGCATTAATAAGGCTGTGCTTTGAATAGTTAGAAACTCTATCTGGCGCTTCTATAGTTCATCTGTTTTTGCATGAGTAATCCTTCTAGAGAGCAAAATGGAAGGTTTGTCAAGGCTCATTCTGTAGCTGAGTCATTGCTTCATTTCCCTTCTCTTTCTTTTGTGTCGCGATAAATAAGGAAGCTCATGCTTTGCGTCAGTGTCGGTGTGTGGCAGCATCTTCGGCAACTAGGAATGTATAGGTGCCGCACTCTCACGCGGATAAGCACAGTCCATATCTGTCCGCGGACTTATATGAGCCCAGTTATTGTGCGCCGTAAGCAAACAGTACGGGCATTGGAGGGAACAGAGAGCCCGAACAGACGTTGCAGTTTTGAACCCTCCTGGCACCTGCAGAAGCTTCCGTGCTCACAACTCTCCCGGGATACGCCACACCAACGTCTTGTTAAGACTGTACCCGAAGGTAAAAACACAACCATGGGCCTAAAGCAGGTGACCAAAAAACGTGTGACATTGGTCCCGTAAGATTGTAGGTTATTGAAGGCATATTGTTCTATGGCGGAAATCTCGGTCCTAAATCCTGTCTAGCTTGTCCTATCTCTAATATTGCTGTTAAGATTGATTTGTCGATTTTTCCAAGCAAATTAACTCGCATAGCTAATAAAACGCCGGGTATGAGGGAGCGAGGCAGGATCAGGGCTGAGATTTCTGTCCATTTTTCCTCCTTCTGAACATGAATGTCTGGCGTTTAAGTTGCTCGTTTTTGGATGAAGACGTTAAAGTTTACCTATGTCTCTTGAATGGTTTTTCCAGGTGGCGGCCTCGTATGTAAATGCAGATCAGAAAATGCAGCAACTCCAACAGCTGTACGAGGAAGAAGTGGAGGCCTATAAGATGACAATCCAAAGAATGACTGTTCATCCCAGCATTTGATTCCTCCGCATTTTTAAATTTTGCATTTCTTGTTTCAATGTTCCATTGATCTCCTGGTGAATTCTACAGTTTCTGTGAGCATGACAACTGCCTCAGTATGCCATTTCTATTGCTTTCGTTTGGTTAATAAATTTTTATTTACCTTCTTTTGTTTGTATTGGATTGTCTGTATAAAGCAGTGTATTGCTATCTATCAAAGGGGTTCAGTGAGAATCGTAAAATTTGCGTTTTGGAGGAGAATGGACGAGTTCTCATTCCCCTTCCCTCCCTACAACATTCAACTCGACCTTATGAGAGAAATAAAGGAGTGCATTGAGAAGCAGCAGGTGCGCCCACACTTTAACCCACTCTGTGCACTTTTTTATGAAAACTCGTTTTCAAGGTTGGAATTTTCGAATCTCCTACAGGAACAGGTAAATCGTTGAGTGTCCTCTGTGCAACAATGACCTGGCTAGAAGAGTTTGAGAAGAGAACTGAAGAAGAGTTAGAGAAGGAATCGCGCCTCACGGAGGAGGTTAGCGATGATGGAGGTTCTGATCATTCGTTCTGATAACAGTGTGCTTGTTTTCTTCATGCTGCTTTGCTATGGGGAGGGGTGTCTATTCGCCTGAGTGCCGCTTCACTGAAAGTCCATGTCAAATGGCTCCTCTTCCGCCGCAATTCTTTTGTTCCTTTGTTAGCGTTCGAGGAAAATGAGCAACTTCCATGTGGTGCACACATCTTCTCTTGCAGCATGCAAACCTTTGTCAGGATGAGGTTTTTTTGCCCTGCTTGGACCCTGGTCCTTATCGCTATCCACAGGTACTCACTCACTTTATGAGAACCCAAACCGTATGACTGAAATACTTCAGCTTCTTTAGAAGTCCATCTGCACATCCCTGCGAGGTTGAAGCCACCCACATGTGATTTTCGTATCTCAGAGAGAAACTAGCTGCAGTCTTGTTAGCTGCGGATGAAGAGGCGTGTGGGAGGATGGTGGGCGTCGAACCCGTTTTTCATCATGGGGGCGGGTTTTTTTTTGAAAAAAAAAAAAGAGGCAAGCGACAAGCTCGTAGGCAATATGTTCGTACAGTTCGTGTCCACCAACGTAGTCTCTATCCATTCCAACAATTGGTCGGAGAACACTGCCGACTGCGCAAAACAACCCACTCACTGACACTATATAAACACAATTTACACGCGGCAGCCTGTACGATTGTGATCGCCCTTTCAGACTATTTATGAATCGTACTACAGACTCGAACTGCTGGGCTTTTGGCGGTGCGGAATGCCGGAAGGGGAGCGGAGCCGTCTTAGATTTGTTATGGGGCACCATTTTGTAGGTGTGTGGGTTTCGGGAGGAATTGCGGGAAAGTAGGTAGTGATGTATGTGAGATTGGAAGCATTGCAGCTGCCGATGCTTCCAACTATGGAATCAGAGCAACGCTCTTTCTCATCTGAGAAGGTCGTCTACCACGCAAGCCGTTGCCCGACACCAGCGCAGCAGAAGAACTACAGCCAGATTGAGAAGGAAGCACTCGCTCTCATTTTCGCCGTGCAGAAGTTTCATCGCTTCATCCACGGACGACACTTTACGCTGAAGACCGACCACAAGCCGCTCGTCGCGATCTTTGGAAGCAAGAAAGGAGTACCAGTCTACAGTGCCAACCGTCTTCAGCGATGGGCCACAATGGTACTAGAGGACAGCGGTGTAGGGAATTTCTATGAAGGGCAAAATTCTTTCATCCCAAGCAGGTGCTCTGGACCGGTCTTGGGTTATTGACAGCGCTTCGATATCGCTATCTGCAGGTATTCACCTTACGTCTGAAAGTGACCCTTATCACTTTTGTCAGTGACTAAAAAACTTACTACTTCTCGGTGCAGATTGACATAGCGCTAGGAAATACTGGAATCGATGAGAATCGGGGAAAACTTCTTTACCTATGAAATAAAATTCATAAAGTTGGGCTGGATAGAAACCTACCTTGGTATGATAGTGATTTTAAGACTGGATTTCGGCTCACAAGAAAAAGCTGGAAATAATGAAGATCAAGGATGAAGCGTATGAGAAACTGAAAGTGCTGGAGAAGGTCAAGGAAAAGATATACCAAGCAAGAGCCGGTGTCATAAAGCGAGATCGGAAGCGTCGTCTACGCGATGAGGGTATTACAGAAGAACATGAATCGGAAAACGATGCTATAGGCGGTGCGTTTATTTCGTTACATGCAATATTAATTGCTTATGCAGAATATGAAGAGATGAATGAATCACTTGGAGGGGGGGGGGGGAAGGAGGGCACGCCGTAGGCTCTACGAGACTGGGTCGTGGCGACTAATCATATACGCTCCGCTATGCTGTTTCGTCGGGAGGAGAAGCACATACGTCCGTTCCCGCTGCGACGCTTGGGCGTTTTCGAGGGGCTGGTTCGAGCAACGCTCGTAATACTCACCCATCCCTCTAAAACGCTCTAGCATCGCAGCGGATAAGACTGTAGACGCGATACGGCATAGGCCCCAAACTATTCCAACACCGACATTTCTTTGTATTGAGAACAGTGATTTAAGGATAACACAGCTCCTGAAGAATATGTTTCCGATGATGAAGCCGAAGCGAAGCCTGAAGAACCTCTAAAGGTTGTCAAAGTGTTCTACGCGTCACGCACTCATTCTCAACTGGAGCAATTAGTAGATGAACTGAAAAAGACCAGGTAGGTCAGATCAACCTTCGGGGTTTCTAGAGTTGGTGCTTCCACCGAATAAGTGATTCCTTCTCCAAGCAGATTTATTTACATAGCGCCAGTCGCAAGTGTGGACGCAGCTGACTGGCTATA